AAGACCAAAACTCATGTACAACAACTTCCTTACTTGCAACAAATAAGCACTAATTAAAGGGTTATTGAGGAAAAACTCTCAGCTAATGGCTTATTACTTGTAAAATATGGTCATGTAGAATAAGGCATTAATAAGTGTTTTATAATGACTAATACATAGTCAATATGCTGCTAATATGCATGTTAATTAACAACTAGTTGATGGTGAATTTGTGTACCTTAATATAAAGTGTTACCGGAAGAGGTGGCTACTGGGTATCACAGCTGCCTCTGACTGTCCTTGTTCCTCCAGCACTTAGAAAGGACACTCAATGGCTTCCGCAGCAACTCCATTTAGCTCTATTGATTTTGCAATTCTCACCCTGAGAGGGGAGGGGAGGTATGAAAGGAAGCTGGCAGAGACGAGTGAGAGAAAGGTTTCCATTTTCCATGTCGATCGAAAAACACTGAAGGAATGTCACATCTGACAGAAACCTTTATAAAGACATCTACACGCCTGTTTTTCAGTGTATTTTGGAACACAACTGCACGCACACACACACACACACACACACACACACACACACACACACACACACACACACACACACACACACACACACACACACACACACACACACACACACACACACACACACACACACACACAAAGGAATACCTATTTTCCTTTCTCCTTTCAGCCTTGATAATAGAGAAGGGGATGGATTCCTCTACTATTTGTACATTATTCACTGTCCTTGAATCTAGCAAGCCTATCAGTTTAGTCCAGCTGTTAGAAAGATATTCACTCACAGCCACAAAGTCCTATACAAATCTAGAGCCATTCTTCTGTAATGTGCTGTAAGTCAAAGATGGTAGGAATGGGTCAAACATGCAAGCAAAGTCACACAAAGCAGAGGGGAATGAGGTAAAGTAAAGAAGGGGCCATTTTCCCTATCAGGGCCTTTTTATGCTAAACCTTCTTCCAGTTTGAACAGCTTTCTAAGTTTGCCCGGCACAGTCTGATAGAGGGCGAGTGTGTGTGGTATGTGGCATTGATTTAAACCCCTTTCGAATAATGTGTTATGTACTCACAGCAGGGTCGTTATAGATAAAACAAATCTATTTACACAGAAGGGGGTGAGTTGAGACAAGGTCTGAGATTTGAAAAGCTTTAGCCAGGGGTCAAAGGTTTATTAATGTTGGCAGCTGATCCACAGCAGTCCAAGATAACTGTGCTGTTGACGGGGCCGGTCATGAGCTGTGAATTACAGATACACTTTTTCGCCAATTACACAAAACAGCTGCAGACCCCCGTTATTTATCATTGTGTCAAAGTGTGATTGTCCAGAGGTTGGAGTATCACACAATCCCCCTCATGCTTGGCTATACAGCATATACAATTATCTGCCTTATCTGCCTGCTATTATCATGCATGTTGTGCCGCAGCTGGTTCTCCGTCCTCTGTCGGTGAGAAGCATCTCTTTTGTTTCTGAGGAGATGAATTGGATGGCGTTGCGTTGCTTCTCTGGCTGTTTGTCGTAGATACCAGGAGAGATTGAAGGGCCTATTCAGGGAGTCATATAGTTCCACAGAAAAGGGTTTGAGTATCAGTATAGCTGTGCACATTAGAACAAGAGGCAGTGTGTGTGTCATTATCATCTCAAAATTACATGTTTTGAGTTGTTTTTCAGTCGCCATCACATGTTATCCAACATTGCAGTGTTTATTTACTTTCTGGATTGATACTGTTGGCTATAAATCCCTGTCATTTTCCCTTACGAAGACTCAGTATGAAGCGCACTGTGTATAAAAAAGCACCAACTGGCAATGATGAAAAGCACATTTGTTCCTATTCTGTGAGAGCAAAACAGACAAAGATAGAGCAACAGATGAGGTATTGAGCGTCGCCTCTAGCGGATACATCTTCAGTGCGTGTTTATTTATTTTCTAGTGTCTATTTTTCCAACGACCTCATTTGAAGGCTTAGCTGTACTTTGACTGCTTCAGGCGCTTACCCTTATGCACAGCGGATGCATCTCTCTAAACGTATGTCTTTGCAGTGTGTGTCAGAGGGAGCAGCAGGGGGCTTATTGCCACTATGTGCTACTTATGTACCACTCAGCAGACATGCAGAGTGACATAGGCATCCCATCAGGCAGCATACCAATGTACTGACAGCTCGTTTACTTTGGGTGAAAGATGCCTTCCCTCCTGCTGACCCGAGAAGTAAAGCTTAAATAATTCACTGATATTATATTACTGCACTAACCAAGTTATAACCTTTGCACTAACCAAGTTATAACCTTTGAGATACAAAAACAAAGAAATAGATTTCCTGCATTAAAACGTCATTTCAAAGCACCTTTGACATGAAGTATATTTCATCTTATGACTCACTCTTTGATAGCAGTTTCCCGTCTGTCACTGACATGTATCATATAGCTTCTCCCAACGAACATACTCTCAACTCAACTGAAAGATAACCTTGATGCACATTTTTTATAATACATTTGTTGAGTCTTACATGAAGTGTACTCCATCTAACATTTGGCTTTTGCTGCTTCTGTATGACATGTTGAGGATCTTAGCAAAGCTCTTTTCTTTCTTTCTTTCACGTTTTTCGTAATTTGTTCTCTTTTTTTCTGTATCCTTGTCATTCCCTACCACCACACTGACACATAATAGGCTTGCATCAATAATGCAGTGGCACAGCAGTGGCAGAAGAGAGGAGAGCAGAGGAATGTGAATAGGTAGAAAGGAGATGAAAAGGGAAAGAGAAGAGAGGTGCAAGTTAGGAAGGAATGATGAGGTGGGGATAGCAGAAGATGGGAGAACAGGAGAAAGTCGTTCACACAAAGGGCTATGAAAAAGAATAGATGAGGAAAACAGGGTAGTGTTGCCTAAAGGCTTAGCTTCCTTTACATTATTCGTGGAAGTTAAATTCACAGAAGGTAAGCAATCATTATGTCTGAACAGCAAAAACTCAAACATCAGCACAGATTTTTCTAGCACCGATCATTATATTATTTATTATAAAAATCAGTATACCCTTCACATCATGTGCAATGGCTTTGACCCGTGGTTTTACTGCCAAAGCAGAATAAAAAAGAATGCCTGTCAGGCGCTGTTTATCACTTCCAACGCATCTGAACACCGCTATATATTATCGTTTGTTTCCATATGAAGAAGTCTCCTCCCATCCCATAGCTCCCCAATGCATCAAAATAAACTTGACCCCATTAAAGGGCTTCTCAGCAGCCCACAGAATGTCCTCCTTATTCTGTTTATGTCAGCAGATACGAAATGTCCCATTGCTATTTGTGAATAAGGGGTTGTGTTTGGTTTTCCTTCTAGCAACACGAACAATAGGCCGATCTAGTTCATTACCTGAAACCTATAACCAATGTTCCAGACAGAAAAAGATTCGGGACTCTGATCTCCTTGTTACTAGTTAGTATAGCTCACAGCGGAAAGCACCTAATTGTTTTGCCAGAGATCCTTTGGGTGACAACCTAAATACAGTCTCTAGACTTTCTCGGTCAAATTGGCCAAAAGGTCTTCTTTCTTTAATGCCGATGTATAAGATGTAATAGCCTCTCGTAAATACGCCGTGGCAGATTTCCCGAAGATAGACGGGCTTATCTCCTGTGTTTTATTCTCAGCAATAAAACACTTCTATTGCATGGTAATATACTCAGCAAAGGGATGTGACTCCGTAAGCTAGGGTTTAGTTGGCAGCATGTACAATCCGAATCTTTATAAAGACAGGAGATGGCCAAAATGAGAGAGGAATGATCAGAAAATGTCTGGATATCAATTGTGCAGTTCTTGATCCAAACCATCAAAGCTCTAAAAGCAAGGAAGTTATCTATCTTAGAGAGACACCATGTAGGATTATTAGGATAAAGGACTCTCAACATATCAGTATATCTGAGATAGAAAACTCATGTACTCTCATTTGGAGTAAAACACCTCTCTTGG